CAAGTTGGTAGTTCTTCTGCCCCACAGTCACTGTGATTGTATTGTAGTATTTAACATAAATTCACATAATTAATCCACATAACTCAGCTCATGTTTAACATATATATTACAGTATAGCACAGAAAATAAAATCGCAAAATTCAAAGACCCACAATTGATAACTGAAACATTACATTGCATCAAAACTTAAAACATGCTTAACACAAAACAAAATAAAGTTGGTGGTCAACATTAGTCCAGCTGTTTCTGCTGCTGTACATTAAATAAAATACAATAAATAACCCTAAGCAAACTGGTTCCCAATGAAAAGTTAACAGTTGTAAAATTAAACATAGCCAGACATTTATCTATATATATATATATATATATATATATATATATATATATATATATACTGCAATACTGCTCAAAAAAATAAAGGGAACATTTCACTTTAATTTTGTGTGTGGCTCCAAATCCAGGTTAATAAATTTGATTTCCATTGATGATTTTTGTGTGATTTTGTTGTCAGTACATTCAACTTTGTACAGAACAAAGTATTCAATGAGAATATTTCATTCATTCAGATCTAGGATGTGTTATTTGAGTGTTCCCTTTATTTTTTTTTTAGCAGTGTGTGTATATATATATATATATATATATATATATATATATAAAACCCTTGTTGGTGGTCTCTTTCATCCTCTGAGCTCGGGTCCTCTACCAGAGGCCTGGGAGCTTGAGGGTTGTTCCAGTATCTTGGCTGTGCCTAGAACTGCACATTTCTCACTTATCACGTGAGCGAACTTATTCACGTGTAGTGTTAATTGTGTTTCATTTTTAATGGAAACACTGGAATTGCAAAATTGTGGGGAGGGGGGGGTTGTTTTGTGTTTTTCACACTGGAAAAACAGCCACTGTCAGGTATCTTAATGCAACAGCCCACTGTTCTGACAACCTTCATTCCAGTTGGCTTTTCAGTATATCACAACCCCAGGTAACAGCAGACTGCTGTGCCCATAATCCTGTCCCCTCACTCTCTTGCTCCTGTTACTCTTATTTTTGGGTTTTCCTTTACATATCTTGCATCTTGATCATTTCCTGACATTCACAAAGCCTTTGTATTCTGCACAAGCAGCTGTTGTACTCAGAGATGAGGAAGCAGTGAGGTGTCAGTTTTCCGTTTTTACCCTGCAAAGAGCGTCTCAGAGTAGCACCCCAATCTATTAATATTGAATCAAGCAGGAAATAGAATCTGCTCACCCGCTGTTCTCCAGATGAGCTCAGGAGATTCGGAGCAGGAAGGAGAATGACACACGAGGCAAAACCTGAGATGCAATCATACACAAATAGACTTCTCTGACTGAATTGTCACAAGGTAAAAAAAATATATATATATAGCAGCATTTGCTCTCCATGGGGTATTAGTCAATCAGCATGGTGAGTTACCTCATCCACCTTTAGGATATGTTGTCCAATGGGGTGCAATGCACCTTCAAAGTGAGGGGCCTTCAAAGCCACATTCATTTGCTCTCGCTGTTCAGGTGGTATTGTTCCCTGTGAAATCTCGTCCAAGTTTTGCCCATTCACTGCATCTGTTGTGAAAAGCTTATGG